TGATGAAGGTCTACTGCTCTACCCTGTGGCGGTCCGTGCTCCTACGGGGCACAAAGAAGGATCTTCAAGGGACGACGTCTCATTGCTGTCCTCATTACTTTCACATCCAATCGCACCCAACACCATTTTGTCGTTACCGGTTTGTTTCCACATGACCAAGAAGACCAACCTTCGAAGCATTTGGAGGCAGGGATTAATTCCAGGAGGTCTTGGAGAAGGTCATCGGATGTTCACGTTCTTCAACCCGTATGTGCCATGGGATCACAGATCATGGACCATCACGAAGAGCGTTGATACGCGAAGAGGGGACTACATTTGCTTGTTCGTCCCGACCGAGACCTTGATGGTGGAATATGGCGGTCGACTGACTGACTCGGGACAGATCGTCTCACCAAAGATCGTCCCGTTCTCGGCAATCAAAGGAGGATGGATTCAGGACCCAAAGGACCAAAACAATAAGACATGGCTCCGGTTGTTCGTCCCGTCGGGCTACGACCAGGTAGTCCGGTCTGGAACTATCAAATCAAGAACGGTAGCCACCAAGGAGTCCATCTTGAGGGTTGCAAGTCAGTGCATCGACGCCGAAGATCAACCGTTTGACGAAACCGCCATGGATGCCATGAACATCGTCAACCAATTCAAGAACAACCTCATCGAGCCTGGCGGACAAGAGCAATACCTGGCCCGCATCAAGCTGATTGACTACATAGTCGAACGCAAAAGGGTGCAAACATCAGGTTGCCGCCATTGTCCTCACTGTCTCAATGAGACGCCGACAAAACTAGCAGTGTGTCTAGTTTGCTGGACGGAACTTGAAAGTTGTGGAATCCGTCCCTATCGGCTACAAGCTCCTGAAGACGATGAAGATGAGGCCACGAAGAAAGAGATCGATGAAGAAGTTCGTCGACAAGAAGAATCGTTGTTCAAGGATACGGTCCATCAAGCACAAGAAAACGTATCCGAATCCAACGACTATGGCTTCAATCCTGACGAGGTCGACTACAACGAAGGCGATGATGAGGAAATGGATCAGGAGGAGGAAGCCCAACAGGAAGACGACGAAATCGTTGAAGAAGACGACGATGAAATGGAAGTCGAACCTGAAGATGAACCCTCTTCCAAACTTCCAGCATGGACCAAGAACCTCGAGAGCGGCAGCAAGGGTATGCCAGAAGACGGACTTATCAACAATGATGTCTCCGAGGCCGCGGCTCACTTGTATGACAATGCCGTCATGTCAAAGATCATCACAATGTTCAGGCTCTACTACAAACAGAGAGTCACTCTGACCCCAGAGGAGTACTATGAGATGATGACGGAAACCAAGCGAGTCCGGCTGGACCTGGACGACTTCTGTCCTTATACAGGAGAAGACCAGGATGGCAACCTCAAGCGCCCGACGGAGCTGGAGTTGGATGAACTCTTTCAGGAGAAAGGGAAGAGGAATTCATGGTCAGAAGGAGAGAAGTTATACTCAGGGCGACCAAGAAACATGATGATGCCTGTCATCAAGACTTTAGAGATCTATGAGAAGATGATGGAATTTCTGGTACGCGCCGGGTACACTCCTGAGTCATTAGGCTTTCTCATGCCAATGAACCGAATGCAGGCTGATGCCCAAGGGAAACAGGAGATGCGAGTAACCATCAGCAATTTCCTTCGACGACTGCTCAAAGGAACCTTTCCGGAGCACGAGTCATACACCTTCTTTCGCTCCGGGAGCCACGGCTTCCCCAACTGCATCGAACTCCCAGCTTTCTCGGTATATCTGAGCCTGAGGGAGAAAGAACAGAGAGTAGAACTGCTCTTTGCCGCCCAACAATGTGGCATTCCTTTACCTCAAAACTTTGTCAGCAAGATGGCTTATGCTATTCAGCTGGCCGAGGCCGAGGCGCAGAGGGGGAAGACCGAGATGAAAACGAAGATGGCTCCAACCCTTGGCGACGAAGTGGTGAGTGAAGTATTCAAAGCGGTTGGACATACTGCAGCTTCCAAGTTTGCTAAACCACCCGCACAACCTTCACAGACACCTGAAGGCACTGGTTCAGCATCATCCTCATCGGCTAGCGCACCAAAGGGCAAGGCTATGCCGAAATCCCATGAACCATCAAAGGCACCGCCTGCAAAGCCTTCATCGCCGAAAGCTGCTCCGAAACGTGCGGCAGGATGGGAGAGAACTCCAACAGCACCTCAATGGAAGAAAGTCCGCCGTGAGCAGTAAACCAATTGCTTCGATCCGTCAAAATGATCACTGGGCTACAAGATGTTTACCGTCTTTATGAACAGATGATCAGGAAAAGACCAACTGAGTGGACACTGAGCGAGGCATTAGACTAATTCGCTTAGGTTCAAGACTTTTGATATTCCCAATCTGCACGAGATTCTGCATTGTGCACGTGAATTCGTTAGTTAGCATTGTAAATCTTTGGTAGCGAGGCGATCCATTTCTCCCGACGGGTGAGTGGCATGTTTAGCCAACGTAGAAAAGTAGATGTTAGCTAGCAATAATTCGCGTTGTACAGCTTGAGGAAGCGCCGATGCATCGACAGCCAAAGAGTAGGCGAACCCTGAACCATTATTCCCGACGGGTATGTGGGGAAGGGGGAGCCAAATGGCATGTTTTATGTACATAGGCGTAATTCGAGTAGCAGAAGAATCTAATTCAAAGTTCCCACTCTCGTGCCTATGGTTCGAAGATGCCATAGGCATGGGGGGTGCGAAGGGGAACGAGATAACACAGTAGTCACACATGCTGAGCATGTGCACATTCTTGCATGGGACGCCACTATGGCTCAAGACCCACTGCGAGGCCAAAATAACGCGCTCCGCTGCTGCATGGTTTGACAGCTCTGACTATCAGCACATAGGGAACTACAACCGAAGGATATCCAGAACAAGGATCAATTTGTTCACATATATATATATATATTTGTTTCTTTGCTTGGAACTTGTGGAGAGCAAGTAATGTGTTGACGATATAGTTGCCAAAATGGCTATGCCATTTTGGCTCAAGCTGTCCCCCTGTGATCCAAACACTCGTAAAACGTTCCGATCCTCCTTTTTGCCTATGGCGTCTTCAAGTCCAGTGGCAAGTGAGACGGGCACTGTGGGTTCCTTCTCTCTGATTGGAACGGAAATGGACACAGGGAGTGACTACATGTTACTCAGCACAACGGAAACCGAGGCTGCGCCGGCCGAGGTTGTGACAGATTTTGAGTGTGATCCCAACCTCACAAAGGAGACCCTTGCTGCGCAGCTCCAAGAAATGGAGAAGGTGATGGCGCACCTGGGGTTGGACCCGAAGCAGGAGACGGGTGTGGCAGCTTCTGGCGCCAAGCCTCCCAGGCTGCTTCATCAGCCACGAGGTCGACTCTGCAGACTTTGGAGAAGGAGACTTTGACGATCCACATGGACCAGAACACTGACACTTTCACCATTGAAGGTTGGGAATCCCTGGTCCCGGCCCTGCCGAGCTCTGCCACCAAGTATCTCAGAGACATCACTCATGGGGAACTTCGCTCTCTTTTGGATGCATTCCGCAGCTCTTCGTGGACGGCATCCTTGATTGCCAAGATCGCGGAGGTGTACTACATCTCGAAGCGAGAGGCCGCCCACACGCAGATGCTGAAGATTCGGCACACTACGCAGCGTGGTGGCTCCATGTCGAATTTGAAAGAGGAGGACCCCGGGACCTCTCCGCAGTTAGTTTGTTCTGACTGCAGTGCACCATGGGGACAGTTTTCAAAATGCCTTCTCTGCCAAGGTTCTTCTCCAGTTGATCTGTCGGTGACACCCCTGTCGGTGATTGAGGTGGAAGGCCAATCCTGGCAGCTAAGGATTACAGAGGCCGGACCGACTTGGGTCCCTTCCGACACTAAGGTCACTAAGGCTGCTGGCTTGGTGGAAGTTGGAGATTTGGGACGACCTCCTCCTACGGCAGCTTCGGGCGCCGGCATGGAGTTGGTTAGTTTCTCAGAGCAGGTCCCTGCTTCTCAGCGCCTTACACTGCAGCAGCATGTGGCGGAATTTGGGCAGGATGAGATCTTCCACCCGGATGGAGTGCGCCCTCCAACCATGGCCGACAAAGATTCCACTCGAATCTTTGTCGGCCATGGTTGGAGGGCGCACTCCATCCGGGTAAGATCTCATCCTGCCCAAATTCCGCCACATGCTGCTGCAGTGTAAGGCGCTGAGAAGCAGGGACCTGCTCTGAGAAACTAACCAACTCCATGGGCCAACTGGCACCTTCACACATGAAGCGGGACTACAACAAATGGGCTGATGAACTTACCCATCCTGACTTCACTGGGTTTCGTCCTGATCGACAACTACCAGTGAGAGAGGCCTTTTCCCATTTTCGCTTCCTGTGGGCTCTTCTGGATGACCAGATGCGCGCCCCTACCTTTTCAGAAAATTCGAAACGTCGTAAGACCGACCATTATGCCACCTAAGGTCCTTTGGAGCCAGGTGGTTGCGGCTGACTTTCTGGTGTACAGTGGTGTTTTCCCACCTACAACCCTGTTTTTCCTTCATTATTGCGCGAGCTGAACGCTCCGGCGGGTTGGGTGGTTTTTGACGTGTGACACCACCACTGCATTTCAGAGTTTCTGTGAAACCATTTTGTGATAGATGCAATTGGCATCTGACAGAAACACAGCCGCAAAGCCAACTGCATAGCAAAAGGTGCAGACGTACTGATGCAGTTGCTTTGTTTCCGTTTCTGTCATTTTCAATTCTATTCGGGAACACATTATATTATATTATATATAAGATTATATATAATATAGTAATAATTATAATTGTTGTTATTAATTAGTATTATTAATATTGTTATTATTATATATATATATATATATATTATGCATGAATTTCCTAAAATCCATATAAATATATTGATTCTTCTTCAGTTGACCCCTTTTTTTAGGGTGTCTTTTCCCCATTTCTTAACCACCCATAATCACCGGGGCTCACCTTCCACAGCGGTTCACCTTTCCTTCGCAGGTTCTTCAAGAGGCAGCCATGGCACGGGTCTACCGCCACGAGTCTCCGTGACCTGGAGCAATGGAGACTAGGCACTTAACATCAATTTTTCAAATCAAAAATGGATACGGTAAAACAAAATCACTGGAGATAATAGCCTACACAGCATCATAGCAGTGAATACTGGCTATGGTTTTCTCTATTTTCTGGATATAATTTAATAATGGGATTTAATTATATCGGATATACAGGCATATGATACCTGGGTCTGTCCCAGAATTGGGAAATTTGTTCATTTATGGCACTCACATTGTCGACTGTAACAGTCTCGCTCATTTATGGCAATTTTATTGGCAATATTAAATAAAAATATTGTGATTCACCACCACATTTGGGGGATACACCCTGTTTCCAGACAAACCCTATGAGGGGGCGATGATGGTCATTGTCATTTTTGGGGTAATTTTATATATTGTACCCTGTCTTTTGCAGAATCGGTTGGTGTTATTTGAATATGTAGGGTAGCAATTCCCCAAAATATCGCGCTTCGATCCTGATATTTGACCCTCGCTTCCTTTTTTTGTCTGACTTTTGCTAAACATAGGGAATGGGGGGAATGATCCAATCCATAACTACAAACAATCATCCCATTCCCCCCATTCACTAAATTCACTATTTCCTACGTTTCGCAGCAGTAAGTTGTTGATTATATATAACTGATCCAATCCATAACATTCCATAACTATAGAAATAATCATCCAATTCACCCCCTTCACATCAGTATTCCCTACGTTTTCCCGAAAATATTCGCAGCAGTTCCGTGATTTCTGGCAGGCTCTTGTGTGCCTTGGTGCAACGGCCCATTCGCCTACTGCTGGCTTTAAGCCTGGGGGTCGCTCTGGCCAGCCTTCTGGGATGCACCTTGGATGCCAGTGGTAGTAACTTAGTAACCCCGAAATAGGTCACCTTTATATATAATCATATATGGCAGTGTGTCAAACCTTGTACCCCTGGTGAACATCAAAATAGCTGGTAAATGGATGTTCATCCCACTAAAAATGGTACTTATAGGTATTGATCCATAGCCATATAACCCATATACATCTCTGGTTGATGGTTTCGAACATTTTTTATTTTCCAAATATTGTGAATCATAATCCCAACTGACTAATATTTTTCAGAGGGGTTGAAACCACCAACCAGATATACATATATATATATATAACCCAGTAAGTGGAATAGTAACCCATATGTATATATATATATATACATAGATAGTAAGCCTGAAATAAGTCACCAACTCGAAAAGTTGGCCTGGAAATATGATCGCAACTGGTCACATTTGTTTTTCGGCTTCAACTTTTAGGGGTACCCAAGGGTACCCAATTTGGACTCATGCCCAAATGATCTGGGTAAATTATAACGACCTCACTACGACCTCACTGGAAATCATGGTTAATAAGGGGAATCATCCCCAGATGGCCTTAATTCAGGTTAGTGAAATATTATAATTTACCCAGAAATGATATGTTTCAGTTGATTGCTGATTTGAGTGCTTGGAGGACCATCTCCGTTGCTAGAGGATCCCCTCTGAAGCAATGACTACTATGGGACTAACAAGCCATATATTTGCCATTGCCGGCACATGTGTGATTCTGGATAGTCATCAATACATTAGGGGTTGATAGAGCCAGCATATGCCAGCATATATAAGTAGTACATAATAACACCATATACCCTCTGGTTATTTAACATAGCCATGGAAAATGGCCCATTTATAATAGATGGTGTACCCATAAAAAATTGTGATTTTCCATGACAAACTGTTAAATAACCAGAGGGTAATACCCAATGATAGTGGGAAGGCCATACCCCATGGCACACATGAAGCCGTCAATGATCACACCCGTGATTTCTCCTGGGGCAAAAAGACGTTCCTTCGTTGCTTATGTGAGTTGTATATGAGATTGACACATCTTTACATGATCATTCGATATTTAGATACATACTCGCAGAATATATACATATATACATACTGGTATATATACATATATATATATAGTATACCACATATTCCAGCCATCTTTTTTCTAGCAGCTCTTGGCGGTGAATAAGGCATACGGCTCATTTGGAGGCAAAGCATTAAGAGATGGCTGGTGATTGCCCTCCTGTTGACCCTCCTGTTGCATCTCGGCCCTCACTGGGAATCCTGTTGTGGATGATGGGAGTTACACTCTCGAACTGGCCTGATGTGATGTGAAGGTTTACTGTTCTTTAGGCCCAGTAACTGTGAAGTTATTTCAGTTGGTTTATAAACCATAGTAAGTATAGAATAGTATAATGTCAAGTCAGGATTAATCAACATCCCGTTATTAATCAAACTCATCCTCAAACAAAAAAACTGTAATTTAAAAACAGGCAGTCCCCCCAGATTAATAATTACTTTGGCATACCCCCGATTAATAAACCACCAGTGCTGAAATTTCATTTTTTTATCCAACATTTTTTTATTTCCAATTCTTTTTATCTCATCAATCTCAGAACTCATCATTGTTATACTTAAGGTTTAAGTTGATCCTTGAAAATTTCAAAAATCAACTATTCCCCAAATGATCGGTTTCTAATTAAATTCTTTATACAAATCATCAGTTTGGATAGCTCCCAAATGAGCCCATGTCCCCCATTAATAATAACCAGGGTTTGCCCCTTATTAATCAACCCCCTTTCTGATCCATGGGTTTTTCACAATCAAATCTTATCAAATCCAATGGAATTCTATGAAGATCTAATTGACGTAAGCCATATCCAAAGTTTTATGGTTTAGAAGGTGCTTATTATTCAGGGGTGCATCACAAGGTCTACCTAGACCTATAGGGGGGGTGGTTTATTAATCCGGTGTTGACATTAGTATAGATATATCTACCAAAAACCATAGTGAAATCGGAGTTATGAGAACCTACTTAGCGATTTCGTAAACGGGGGCCCCACCTTGTATGACTCCAAATTATTGCAAAATACATCAAGTCAAACATCAATATACCGCTTATTTGTCTCATGTTTTTTCCCATCAATTTCCCCGTGTTGCCCTTTTCTTTCCCTCTTCAGGAGCGTTGCCTGCGTTGCTTGGCGTCGATGAACATGCTGGATCCCGTTTGTTTTCGATTGGCGTACTAGTTTGTTTTTTAGACACAACCATATCCATATATTTGGACAGTGCTGGGCATATTTGGACAGTGGTGACATATATATATATATATATACAGATATGCAGTTATATATATATAATTGTATAGATATACATATATATATACATATATATATACTAAAGTAATATGGTCATAGTACTCATGACCAATATAATGTGGTCATACTTACATACTTATATATGAAAGTTACCAACTCTAGCGATTTTTGGGGCTCCCCGGGTCCAAAAAGAGGCACCGTCCTTCAGGCCCACGGCGGAAGCTCCATGTCTTCCGTGCTGGGCTTCGCCTGGGACTCTGGCCATGCCACCATCGGTGCGGGGACCGTGAGGGCTGTTGATTTGAAGATGTTTCTTTGGGGCCCCCCAGTTATAAGATGGTTTATAAACCCCATTAACTATAGTTATAGGTACCATAAACCATAGTTATGGGAGTTATAAACCAACTTAGCTAACTATTTATGGGGCACTACCTTGTACATATATATATATATATGGGTATGGATCAATACCTATTAATACCATTTTTAGGGGGATGAACATCCATAAACCAGCTATTTTGATGTGAACTACAGGGGTACTATTGGTTTTGACACACTGCCATATGGATTCCCTGTGTCTTTGATGTTCCTGATTTGAAAAGCTGTTCTGCTTTTCTTGCTGAAATTTTCCGGTTCTCTGCTTTTCCGCTTTTTGCTGTTCCTGCTTCAGTGCTTTTCTGCTTTTCTGCTTCTATGCCTTTCTACTTCTACTTTTTCTGCAGTCATGCGTTCTTCCTGCTCTACTTTTTCCTGCTCCTCTGCTTCTTTGATTCCTTTCTTCACTGTCTCCCAGCTTTTCTTTTTCGTTTGCCTTATTCTCTTCTGTTTGTATCCTAAATGAAACCCTAGAAAAACCCTTAATGAAATCGTAAATGAAACCCTGAATGAAACCCTTAATGAAAACCCTAAAGAAACCCTAAAGGAAACCCTAAATGAAAGCCTAAAGAAACCTTAAAGGAAATCCTAAATGAAAGCCTAAAGAAACCCTAATGGAACCCTAAAGAAACCCTAAATGAAGCCGTAAAGAAACCCTAAATGAAACTAAGTGAAACCGTAAAGAAACCCTCTGCATGAAACCCTAAAGAAACTCTCTGCATGAAACCCTAAAGAGACCCTGAATGAAATTCTAAATGAAAGCCTAAAGAAACCCTAAATGGAACCCTAAAGACACCCTAAATGAAACCGTAAAGAAACCCTAAAACCCTAAGTGAAACCCTAAAGAAACCCTGATTGAAACCCTAAAGCAACCCTAGAGATACCCCAAATGACACCCTGAAGAAACCCACATGAACGTTTGAAGTGCCAGCATGTAGCAAATATACCTTTCAAAATGAGAGGTGAACATTCCAAAATGTAACAAACACCATGCAAATGGAAGGTGATCATGCCAACATGTAGCAAATACGATGCAAAATGACAGGCTCTAGTTCCAAACTGTTGCGACTGCTAGGTAAATGGTACCAGGAAAGAAATAAACAAATCCCAAACCTCATCAAAACAAAAATCCTAAAACTATTCTTCACCCTCGTTATTTTCAGGCAAACCCATGTGGTAAACGAATCAGGTTGTCATATCCGGATTTTGACTTGGATTTATTTATTGGTGCACAGCTGAGTCTACTGTGTAGCTACTGTGTAGCATGTGATTTCGGAAGAAAGTTTGGAAAAACATGAATTTTTGCTGGGGTTCACCATCGGACTATCAATTGCCAAACCATATCTTATAGATATGTTCTCACATATTAGAATTATTCTTGTATTTATTTTGTACATTTTCCCATTGTGTCATTTTGTAACTCCAACTAAAATGCCGTTGGGAATGGCGTAAAAAAAAAAACCTAGGGAATATGGATACTGCACACATAGCTCCCAACCGCTCCACCGCTTCAATAGAATGGTTATTGATCATTACATATATATAGTTATACATATATATATATCCTGTTACATCATTACAGCATATTTCATTATATCATTGTATACCAAATCATTAAATCATTAATTTGTATCCCTTTGGATCCAAACACTGCCTTAGATGATACGGCTAACCCCCTAAACCAACGCCCATTCATACTTGCTTTCAGAAGCTACGGCTGGATCATAGGGTATCATCACATATCATTATGTCCCATTATATCATTAAGCCCAACAAAATGCTTATTTAGTATTACAGTATCTGTCATATCATATCATTTGGTATCAGTATATTTGATACACATTATATATCTATATATATGGTTGTATATCATGTATATATATATATACATACATCATACAATTATACATCATACATGATCATATTTACACACTATCATAAGATTATGGTATCATTGTGCTTTGTTCACCAATCCATGATACTGTGGATGGTTTCGAAATCCTGCACCAGTCGATAGATGGTTTATCCCATTATTTGTAGGGTTTCAACTGTTTCAACCATCCAAGGTGGTGCAGGATTTTACAACCATCCACAGTATCACTATGGGTTCACTATGGTTTTACTATGGTTTCACTATGGTCGTTATATCAACTTATATCAACTCCATATATGAAGTACCCTCTGGTAAACTAACGTAACTATGGAAAATCACCATTTTTAATGGGTAAATCCACTATAAATGGCCATTTTCAATAGCTATGTTAAATTACCAGAGGGTAACCATGGTTTGTTCACTATGGTTTGTTCCAATATGGGACTCCCATTGCCGCCGCGACGTCAGGCCCCCTGACGTCGCCCATCCTCTTGAGCCTGGGCATTGGCATGGCCACACCCAGACGCCGGCCGAGTGACCAGGAGGCTGCGCTGGATGGGTTATGGTTGATAAGTTTGTCCCATCTTTCCAACTGTCTATATTATAAATATATAATTATAAGTATATATATATACTCATATATATATATATATATTATATATAGAGAGAGAGATATAGATAAGGATATATATATAATGAATAGATATATCTATATATATATATATTATATATAGAGAGAGAGATATAGATAAGGATATATATATATATATATATATAATGAATAGATATATCTATATATATATATATATTGGATTTGAATGAATTATAGTGACCTCACGTAGTGACTTCACAATGGAATGATGGTTTCTTGGATTCGGGGAATCAGTGGCCGCATGATCCAAGGGATTCCTTCCTGAAGTTGGCTGGGTTTACTTCATTGACATACATTACCCGGCCTGGTAAACATACAAAAAGCTATTGAAAATGGCCATTTATAGATGGTTTACCTATTAAAAATGGTGATTTTCCATAGTTATGTTAGTTTACCAGAGGGTAACCAGGTCTTTCTTACATGTTTTCTCTTGATTTCCGGGTTCCTGCACATCTACAGTATACATATAAATTTAACTATCTCATGAAAAAAACATCTCACTTCGATTATTTGTTATATATACCCTCTGGTAAACGTTTACATAACTATGGAAAGATCCACCATGTTATCAATGTTTAATAGGTAAATCAACTATAAATGGGCCATGTTCAATAGCTATGTGGGTAAAAACTATGGAAAATCACCATTTTCAATGGGTCAATCCACTATAAATGGGCCATTTTCAATAGCTTTTTCTATGTTGACCAGGCCGGGTATACCATTGCAAGCCTCGTTTCGGAGTTTCAGGAGGCGCAGCTGGACGACCTGGCGGGCTTCGGGCTCATTGGCTTCAGTTCTCTGCTGCCGGCGGGGGACCTGGAAAGGGGGTTTTTGTGGATCTTTTGGGCAAAGAAAATGAGGAAATATGGGTATGGATCAATACCTATTAATACCATTTTTAGTGGGATGAACATCCATTTACCAGCTGTTTTGATTTTCAAGAATCACCATGTGGGTATGTCTGAAAATGGGGTATACCCCCAATGAAATAGCCATTTAGTAGGGATAATGATCAGCAAAACCATTGGGTGTAGGGGTACACTATTTTCAGACAAACCCAAATGAGGAAATATATATTATATAAATATATGATATATCATCTAATATTAAATATATGTATATCATACAATATTAATCGAATATAATCTTAATATAATCTTACATAATATTGTATAATCTTATCTAATCTTATATATCATCTTATATGTGATATGTGTTTGAATTAGCAAGGAATTTTGATGAGACCTTAAGATGTTGAATTGCCAACGCAAGAATTTTCTGATGTTGACTTTTTGAAGATGTTCGGAGTAAATACCTATGGGTTTAAATGGTTTTGTTGAAGAAATGGAAGATTATGCTCTGGATTACTAACAAAGACGAGCACATGCAAAGAGCCTCATTGGCCAGCCTCATCAATGGTGGTAACTGGTGGTATCTTGGGGAAGGGAACGTTAATCGCCGCAGGTCATGGCGGTGGAGATTCTGGCACTCTGCGTGGCTGATGCAGATGCCTCTTGGCACGGCTTCGGGGAGTTTGAAGGATCCAGATGTCCCATGGCTTTCGACCTGTTGGATCCTGGACATGTTTTTTTGTCGAGTATTTCTTTGTTAAAACGAATGGCTTGGAGTTTGTTTGGAAAGATTCGCCTTTGTGATACAGTGGGAGCCAACAATGGTGAAGATCAATGGACCAGAACGTACAAGGTAATCTCCCCCACCAGTTACAAGCTATCTATCTATCTATCTATCTATATATATATAAATATGCAGGATAGTGATATGGTATATTATATATAATTATTTATATAGTTACATTTAGTTTGTAGACGTATTTATGAATTGTATATAAATAGATATCTCATGATAGACCCAAAAGTCCTGCGGTTGGGCACCACAGGCAGTCTGGATCCAGCGAGACTTGCGGAAGAATTTGCAGCGCCATGGCTTTGTTTCAAAACATACGGCTGGATCATAGGGTATCATCACACCTATCATATATATATATGTGTGGTTGTATTTCATGTATGCTATATATATATATATGCATTAAAGTTCCATTTTATCATTAAGTCCAACAAAATGCTTATATTGATTATTATCATGTTATATCATATCATTTGGTATCAGTATATCTGATACCCATGATATGGTTGTATATCATGTATATATATATATATACATACATCATATAGTTATACATAATATAGGATCATATTTACCCACTGACATCTAATATTATGGTATCATGTTTTTTTGTTCACCAATCCATGATACTGTGGATGGTTGCAAAATCCTGCACCAGTTGATAGATGGTTTATCCAATTATTTATAGGGTGTCAACTGTTTTAACCATCCAAGGTGGTGCAGGATCTTACAACCATCCACAGTACCCAACTTAGCAATGTTCATGTGGCAAAGATGAGAAATACGATGGAATGTCTGGAGCTACCCAAATTTTAAGTCAAAGCCATGTTCAAAAAAAATGAACACGACACAAGCAATGTAAAAAACAAGAAAAGAAAAAAACGCATGGATGATGTTATGATTGATGAACTCCGCACGCTGTTGATGAACATGAATTTTGACCTATATACTCATCGAACTTGATTTTAATGTGTGGTGTTTCCCAGGCCCAGAATTATTCCCATAGAACGTATCCTTTTTTTTGAACCGTCATTAATGGCTAATGCGCGACTGTCAACCTCCGATTTTTTGTTGATTAACCCCTGAGATTGTCGCGCATGTTTGTTGATTGAATCTTTTTGCAGATCAACCCGGCATTGTTCAACTTACTGTACTCGCTTAAGGAAAAACATGCAGACACCACTATTTATCTATTTGCTGTATCTATATTTTTAATTTATTAAGTTATCCCTTAAGTTATCCATATAATATATATATATATATACATCATCAAGAAAACCATGCAGAACCCGTGGTTACCGCAGATTTCCCCTTGAGTTCTCCCGAAAGTTGCGATGCCAACGGCTTCATCCGAGGCAAAAGGACATGGAAAGCAAGGAAGCTGCAGCTTGGCTGAGGGATTACCCTCTGGTAATTTAACATAGCTATGGAAAATCACCATTTTTCATGGGAAAATTCACCATAAATGGCCATTTTCAATAGCAAACTGTTAGTTTACCAGAGGGTAACCAACAAACATGGAGGTTTCCTATGGTTTCCTATCATCCCCAGCCGTTACCCGGCCTGGTAAACGTTTACAAAAAACTATGGAAAGATCTACCACGCTATCAATGGGTAAATCCACTATTTCGACTGGGCCATTTTCAATAGCTATGTTAAAGTACCAGAGGGTATCTTCCAAGTTATTGGCTATTGTACATGATATTATCAATTGGAAAACCCATGCTTTGGGGTATACATATTCTA